CCCTTCTTCAATAATTCGTTAATTTTCGACAGCTTTTTTTTACTTGGTTTAAGTAATAATTTTAAACTAGTGCGCAGCTCCCCCTGCTCGCTAACGCTCGCCAACCCCCGAAAATTGCTATGCAATCTTAAATGGCTTGCTTCGCAAACCAAGCTCGCTACTAACTTAGGTACATTGCAAATACACAAAATTCTAAGAATTCAAAACAATCATTCAAATCCATATATCAATTTTTTTTTTCTTCAAATTACGTCTTTTTAGTAAATACTAAGTCATTAAAATAAATTTGAATTCAAATAAATGACAAGTAATTCGTTAAACCTATTAGAANAAAACAATCATTCAAATCCATATATCAATTTTTTTTTTCAAATTACGTCTTTTTAGTAAATACTAAGTCATTAAAATGAATTTGAATTCAAATAAATGACAAGTAATTCGTTAAACCTATTAGAAATGTGCTATAGTATAAAATCTTAAAGCGTAACAGCACGACTAAGAATCATTTTTCAATGAATAACTAATAACAATAATAAAACAAATAAATTCGTGACATAAATCAAAAATCGTCAAATAAATTCGTAATATATAAATTCGCGAAAAAAGCGCTTTCGACAAAATACTAAAATAGAGATCTATCGACAAAGACTACTCACTTCTGCCTAGCTTAATAGTATGAGATTGCCGCAGCTGATAGGGTGAATTTCGGAAGAGATCACATTTGGTGAGAATGCTGTCACTGGTTATTTCAGTTTCCGTTTTTAAAAGCGCTATATGCTGAGCCACCTGAGCTAGATTTGGCATGTGGCAATTTAGCGGCAATCATTGGTCGATTTTCTAGCGACGCCATTCAGGGAGTTGTAATGAGGCTTTTTTTGTCGCCGTGTAAGAGTTGTTGTTGTTCATTTACGTCGCACTAGAGCTGCACAATGGGCTATTTGCAATGCCGTGTAAGAGAAATATATATATAGATATTGTATTCCTACCATGCGGACTTTTTTGAGAAGGATTCCACAATATAATAATACGGAGTTAATACCGAGTTCACAGAGCATCTAAGTTTAGCTGTCTGTATTTTTGAATAAAGGCCTTTTATTCTAATAATTATTTTTTGAGAGAATTTGATTTCTTTTTTAGAGTTGAAATGCATGTTATTCGTTATACACTGTACACCAGTGTATTAAGAAATTAACCAGTGTATTAAGGTACCAGAAATTAAGAGAATTTGTAGACTCGGTCGATTATCTTTGGAACTACTAGACCGATTTTAATGAAATTTGATATGCACATATATTGATACACTACAAAGCAAATGACTATTCAACAAATGTAATACACTCGCTTGACCGTGCGTAACACTCGTTGGAGTCGGAAGGTATGAAACAGTGGTTGCAGAATATATAAAAAAATTGGTTAATAGGGGGTATGGTCCCCTCTAACAGGTATACAGGCCTTGCAGCGAAATTCCATACTTGAAATAAGGCAGTTTATCATTTCCTGTGGCAATTAGTCTCACTCGTTCAGCAGCGCTGTTTTTATTCCCTGCATGGATCTCGAAGGGGAGTAGCGAGTTGCAATTGAGCCCCAGAGCGTCCCAGACATGCTCTATAGGGTTGAGGTCAAGAGATCTAGCTGACCAATCCATCCGGCAAATATCCTCACTCTCTAAAAATTCGTAGACCAGAAGAGCTCTATGTGGCATCGCGTTATCGTCCATTAAAATGAGTTCAGGGCCAACTGCTTCCCTGAAAAAGCAAACATAGGGCTCCAAGATCTCAACCCTGTACCTCACAACAGTCGCAGAGCCTCTTACAAAGACATGGAGAGTTGTGTGGCCATTCAACATGATGCCTGCTCAGAGTATTAAACCTGCTCCACCATAATGGTTGATTTCGCGTACTTTGGAGGGTAGGTAGCGGATCCTTGGTTCTCTTAATATGAACGTACGGCGAGAATCGGTGTTTATGCTGAACCGAGACGCAACAGTGAAGATAACGGTCGTCCATTGATCCATACTCCAATCTCTGTGCCCTCTGCGCCATGCTGAACGAACTCTTCTGTTCGTCGAAGTGAGCAGGATGCAAACGGCAGTTTTTCTTGCAAACAACCTTGATACACGGGTTCCTGTAGCTGCATACAAGTCACGAGAGAGCTGAGAGGCTGTAGCCCCTCTGTTACATCTCGCTATAATGGACAAATGGCTATCTTTTCTGGCAATCGTGACTCTTGAACGACCTTGCCCATGCTCTCTCTCTATATAGATCCTACATCCTGGAGCTGCTTCTATAAGTTACGCACGACGCTGGGCGTTAAATTGAACTCTCTACAAATCTGGACCTTCATCTTACTCGAAATAATTGCTCTCATCTTGTGTATTCATCTTGCACTAAACAATAGGTTCAACACACATTAACATTTAGAGAAGGGAAAAAAGGAAGGCAACGAATATTTTCATCAAAATACCAAGAATTTTACTACAAAATACCAGGAACAGCTGTTTTACCAGGAGAGCATCCTATATTAAAACATTTAGTACTGTCTGAACATAAGAAAAGGGGACATGCTGGTGTTTCATACACATTGAATTCTCTTAGAGAAAGATTTTGGCTGCTGTGTGGTAGAGGAAAAGTAAAATCTGTATCAAGATCTTGTGTAGTATGCAGGCGTTTTTCTGCCAAACCTGTAGACCCACCAACTGCATCACCACCAAGTGAGAGAGCTCAAGATGCAAATGTTTTCCAAGTAACGGGTGTGGACTTAGCTGGTCCTGTGATTTTGAAAGACAATTCAAAGGGCTGAATATGTATTTTACCTGTGCCGTTTATTTTACAGGGAGTGGATAAGGTGTTAAAAAGGCTTGACAAACTTGTAAATTCGTGTAATAAGTAGTAAGTATGGATCAGAAGGTGAATTAACTTATCAATAAACACGAATTCACATAATAAACAAACTTAACAAGTTTTATTATTAAATATAACAGATCTGTAAAAAATGGCAAGAAAAAGAACGATAATTGTTTTTCTTTATAAAAAGCAAGCGCGTGGCTAGATAATGATTGCACGCGACAACTGGTAAACGGTTTCAGCGCAGTGTAAGTATTTAACGATAGGTGGCGGTCGCCACACCATCTCCCCTTCTGGAAAAAAAATAATTAAAGTTCAAATTCCTCAGTTAGCTTTTTTGGGAAGTGTACTACTCGTCCAAAACGAGTCTTTTTTATAGCAGCAGGAATTCGATCATTTTCAGTTGGTCGTAAAACAGGAGCATT